CTTCCGAATCATCTATCGAAAAGGTTCAGAAAACAGTAGAGCAGACGCTCTCAGCAGAAGACCTGACCACGAAGTCACGGTCCCCGAGGAAACACAAGTTATCCTCAAACAAGAAAAGGACGGTAGCCTTGTACCAACTACGAAGCTTCTTATGCTAGCCAGAAAGATCAATACCAGCCCGACTGGAAGAATGACCCCTGAGCTCATCATGGAAATTCATAGTGCACCCGCACATGGCCACCAAGGAGTTACCAAAACATGGAAACGGATTCGACAACACTATGACAAATCCGCTACACGCGCTGAAGTTGCAGACGCAATCAAGGATTGCGCGATCTGCAAGAAAAGCAAGAACAGCCCGCACAAGCCTTATGGCGAGCTGCAACCATTGCAACCACCCACGGAAGCATGGCAATCGGTTACATGGGACTTTATCGTCAAATTACCAAAGTCCAAAGAACCACTCACGAATGTATGGTACGACAGCATCTTGGTTGTAGTCGACCGACTCACCAAGTTCGCCCACTTCATACCCTACAAAGAATCCAGCAGCGCAGAGGAATTAGCGTACACGTTCCTCAAAAACGTTGTTGCCAACCACGGCAGGCCGAAAGAGATCATCTCTGACAGAGGCTCTCTGTTTACTTCAAAGTTTTGGAGATCTCTGATCTCGCAACTTGGTACAGATCACAAACTGTCAACCTCTTTCCACCCGCAAACCGATGGTCAGACAGAAAGAATCAATCAGATTCTCGAAACATATCTCCGTTGTTATGTGAACTACGATCAGAACAATTGGGTAACATTGTTACCAATGGCCCAATTCGCATACAACAGTGCAGTTGGCGAAAGCACAAGAGAATCTCCGTTCTACCTGAACTACGGATTCCAGCCAACAGCGTATGGAGAAGCACGACAAGGACCACAAGCTGTGAAAGCAGTAGCAGACGTGGCGAAACTCAAGAAAATCCAAGAAAAAGCGTCCTTGGATCTCGAGTTCGTGCGCCAACGTATGAAGAAAAACGCGGATAGATCAAGGATTGGAGGACCAACCTTAGAAGAGGGAGATAGCGCCTATCTTCTTCGCCGCAACATCAAAACGAAACGACCAAGCGACAAATTGGACTACAAAAAACTTGGACCTTTCGAAATCATTCAGAAAGTCTCAAACGTCAATTACAAATTGAGACTCCCAGACACAATGAAGTGTCATCCAGTCTTTCACATTTCACTTCTTGAACCAGCACCCAAGGGTTCGCACACAGAAGACCACATCATCGTGGAACCAAACGAACCAGAATACGAAGTCGAACGAATCATCGACCACAGGGTCAGGAATGAAACACGAGAATTCCTGATCAAATGGAAAAACTACGGACACGAGGAAAATACATGGGAACCCATCACGAACCTCCAGAACTCCCGGCAACTCCTTGAGGACTATCGGAAGACTGCACCAACGGACCCAAAGACGAGAACTCATCGCCAATCCCGAAAGTAGACCAGTCCACATCATTTGGAACTTGCATAAACTGCAACTCCTCGACCATTCCACGCTCATGAGCATCCAACGCGGACTCCAGAGCGTCAGATTCATCCATCTCTTGCATTCCACGACGAAAGGTCTCGGCTTGACGCTCACGCACCAACCTCCGAGTTTTCCGAATGCGGGACAAACGACCAGCGGCAGTAGCCATCAACGACTGAAGACGGGCCAACTCCTCATGAAGCTTCAATAGCTCCTCACCCGCCTTCTCCTCCCTTTCATCCCATTCTCTCTGCTGGGCATTGAGTTTTTGAACTACGAAAGAACGTTAGAAGATACAAAAAAAGGTGACGAATGAACTCACGAGTCGAAGCCACCAACACCCCGTCGCAAGACTTCTTCGCCTCAACACAAGTCCGACAACGAGAAGAACCTTCACCAAACCGACACGGGACCTTCGCACGGAAACAACGAGTGCAAGGCATATCGGCGACAACCGAACGAGCTTCGATAAATTCTAAAAGAGCAAGGCGCTCACGATCCTTTATCTCTGTCTTTCTGGACTTTGCTTTGGAATTCGATTTTTCAATTCGACCTGACATTGTGTCAGCACATTTCGACGAAACACTTGACGATTCCCCAACCTGGGAATGGACGACCTACTTATAGGCCTAGAGGACTAGACCTTTGAGAGGAGGAGCTGATGTTACGACCCAACACATATGACGAGGCCAGGGTCTCGCCCCACAAGGCCTGCGGCGGCTACCACACCATATATGCGGAGGAACGGATTCAGGGTGACTCCTCTCGGGTCGGAAGAACTATGGACAAGTCACGTGATGATAAGAAGGACCGACGGACGATAAGCGGTCCATGGACAGGACCGACGAGACAAAGGCGGTCCACCCCTGTAGGACCGACATCGTGATATCGGTCCCAACCACAAAGGAACTGTTCAGATAGTATACGGGACTTGTATATAGGATGGACTTGAGCCGGGCTCAAGGACAGACTTTCCATAGCTTCTTCAGCAATCAACTTAGTATCAGATCTTGCGATCACTTTCAGCTATCTTCACTGAGAACCCTTCTGACAAGACTACGATTGATCACCGAAGCCTTACCTACCTCACGACTTACAGACATAGCTTCAGGGAAGCTATCCACGACTACGACACGCTGTTTATTAGTATCGCAGCCTTAACTTCTGCAAACATACTCACTACGACTAGCTGGCCGTAACAGGTACGACCGTACTATATCGACCCTAGCAGAGTGATTTTTAATATATAAAAAGAAGAAGAGCTAGGGGAACTACCTTAACAAAACGATAAAGAATAACCAAGCGATAAGGGGTAGGAAACCATCCTTAACGAGATTATCGTTGCAGCACCCTTAGACGATAAGGTAGAAAAAAAACTAGTACCCTTACCGTAAATAAAATACCGAGGAAGACCCTAAAAAGTACCTTAATGGTAATTCATATTTAATACTAAGGCTACTACTATCTTTTATACGGCCAAAGAAAAAGTAGATTTTATAATAGTGGTTAAGTTAAAAGAATAAAGGATAATTATAATTATAGGACGACCGTATAAAGGCTTTAACCTTATTAAAGCCGATATATTATATGATCGAGGGGTCTATAAATTTATCACCTACGACCTAAAGAAGTACACGAACCTCTATATCTTTAAATTATAAATAGTTTATAAGATCAAAAGAAAAAGGATAAATTAACTATATAAGAAATTAAAGTATATAATATAAAGCTATAGCAACGTTAAGAAGGCGGCACTACTTATGCAGTTACCGATAGTTTAGCGCTATAGCTAATAATTAATAATAGTATTAATAATATTATTATGGTAAAAAGGATACTGGATCTAGAGTCGTGATATTACCTAGGTATATACCTAATCGGTAATAAGGCTTATAAGGAAGATATTAGCTTATTTATTAAGAGAGATAGTAAGTAAATACCCGGATAATATAATTATTAAAGTACTGAAGCTACTCTACGGCCTTATAAAGTCAGGTACTTACTAATAGGTAATATACTATGATTTCTATATCGACAAGCTCTTAATAATTATATTAATATACGATCCTTACTTTTTAGTTTTTATATATATAAATAATCTATTTAGAATCGTTGGAATATAGACCGACGATATATTAAGGCTTTTTAATACGGCCTTTATAAAAAAGGAGGATAAGGAGCTAGAAAAAGTAAAGTTTACTACTAAACTAAAAAAGATCCTTATAAAGGACATATTATTTACATTTAACGGTAGGATCCTTACGATTAAGGGTAAGAATATCGTCTTCTAATAGAAAGGGTAAGGTAAGAAGATCACCCTTATTAACCTAAAGGTAACCGATTACTAAAAGCGGTATAAAGTAGAGCTCGTACGAGGAGCTTATATTATAAGTATTTATTAGTTAAAGGCTATTTTTAACTATGCGAAGGTAGCATAGGCTATTTTGCCAACGGAACGTAACTTTAATACCCTTAATTAATAGCTATAGTAGCAGTAAGTAAACCTCGATAAAGGGCTTATATACTAACCTATCGACCTAAGGGAGGCAAAGCTCTATATATTCGTTAATAGCTTATTTATAAATAATAACGACCTTATATCGTAATTAGGATATATAATAATCCTTATTAATAAGGTAATAAGAGAGGAGAACTTCATAATCCGTAATAATATTATCTATTATTCATTAATAAAGAGTAAAAAGGTTATATAAAGTATACTTACTTTAGAGGTCTATAACATAGTTAACGGTATCGATATTGTATATGCGATCTTAACGATACTAAAGAGGATTACCGATCGATTTAATATCTTTACGATATTAATAATCGTCTATACCGATTTATACTTGCTATATAAGTGCCTTGTTAAATTGGGTACTATAAAGGAGAAAAGGTTAATAATAAATATCATGGCCCTCCGGTAATTGTATAAACGCTACGAGATCTTTAAGATCCGTTAGATTAATAGGGATAATAATCTAGTAGATATTTTTATAAAGATAATGCCTAATAAAGGGCTCGAGTACTTTGTTAGTAAAGAAAGGGCGATAATATGGATAGAGGGATAGGTAACCTATAAGGAATAAAAAAAGGAGGAAAAGGGGGCAGCCTTAGCGAAGGAGCCCGAGATCAAATTATATTTCTAACCACCGTAGTTAAGTAATAAAAAAGAGAGATAGTCAGTATCGGATTAAAAGTCTAATTTAACCTTAAAGTAAGGGGCCTGTATAAGGGCCACTTATAGATTATACTTATAAGATCTATAGTCTACCTAACCTCCGGTTAGAACCTCCTTTTTACACCTTATACAGAAGTTAAATATATATAGATTTTGACCTCTTCGTCACCCACGGTTCGAACCATCCCTGTAATAGGAATACCAACAGTATCAGTGTTTCACAAGTTAGTGGCTAATTCAAGACGAGAACTTCCTCGAACTCATGCCAGTGGATTTACTGACAATTGGTGTCACAGATTCGTTGTTCTCGCTTCTGATCGCGACATTGCCCACAAGGTCTTTAAGTCCCCAGCATACGCCGAGCCATGCATCGTACCCATCGCAAAAGACATCCTCGGCCACAAGGCCTGGGTCTTTCTCCAGGGTAGAGAACATGCCGAGTACCGAAGGGGCTTGATGCCCCTGTTCACCAACAAGGCAATGGCAACCTACCTCCCGGTTCACGAGAAGGTGCTGGGCGAGTACTTTGACAAGTTCGTCGCCGCCAGCGAGGCAAACAACGGAAACCCCATGGCTTACATGGCTCTCTTTCGCGAAATCAACTGCGCGCTTTCGTGCCGTACCTTCTTTGGCGACTACATCTCCCAAGATGCCGTCAAGAAGATTGCCGACGACTTCTACCTCGTCACCGCAGCCCTCGAACTCGTCAACGTCCCGCTTTCGATGTATATACCCGGAACAAAAGTCTGGCTCGGCAAGCGTGTCGCTGATCAGGTTCACGCCGAGTTTGCAAAGTACGCCGCCGCGTGTAAAGCCAACATGGCCAAGGGCGCGACACCGACATCTATTGTTGACCACTGGGTGCTGCATATGATGGAGTCCAACAAGTATCGCGCGAAGGTTGCTGCTGGAGAGACTGATGCCGTGAGGCCTTCAAACATGATCAGAGAGTTCACCAATGAGGAGATCTCAGAGACGCTTTTTACCTTCCTCTTTGCATCGCAGGATGCGTCAAGCAGTGCTACCACCTGGCTCTTCCAAGTTCTCGCGCAGCGCCCTGATGTCGTCGAACGTCTTAGAGAAGAAAACCTTGCAGCGAGAGGCGGTGATGGCACGAAGCCCTTTGACCTCCCCATGCTGGAGTCCCTCACCTTCACCAACGCCGTCATCAAGGAGCTCCTCCGCCTCCGGCCGCCCGTCATCTTCGTTCCCTACCTCGCGACTAAGAACTTCCCCGTCACGCCGAAATACACTGTCCCCAAGGGGTCGATGATCATTCCATCATGCTACCCGGCCCTGCACGACCCTGATGTCTACCCCAACCCCGAATTCTTCAACCCTGACCGATGGATCACCGGAGACGCCGAGTCTAAGACTAAGAATTGGCTGGTATTCGGTGCTGGGCCACATGATTGCCTCGCAAGGAGGTATGTGCCGCTGACGATGGCTGCCATGATTGGCAAGGCGGCGTTGGAGATCGACTGGAAGCATCATGCAACGGAAAAGTCGGAGGAGATTAGGGTATTTGCTACTCTATTCCCCATGGTAAGTCTTCGGCCACGTCTAAGTGTGTAGATTGTAGATGCTAACTTTGTTCCAAGGATGAGTGCCAGTTGAGCTTTACCAAGCGACAGTGAGACGAACTTGCTGCAATGGTATTCGCCTGTCTAGATGTGCTACTTCTACTTGAGCACGTAGGTCTGCTTGTAATCATGGTTATGCTGGGAAGCTTAATATCATAGGCCATCATCTTCAAACGAAAACAGTTCCAGTCCGCATTCAAATTGTTCTTGACCTTCTCTTCCTCATGCTTATTCCCTAACTGAAACTCTCTTCCTTATGTTGCAACCGAGAAAGCCCCAACCAAAGAACAGTCCAATTTCCTTGAACCCAACAATTAGGTACTATAATCCCAGATGTCAGAAAGGTCATCTGCAGCAGCCTCCAGCGCCTGCTGCTCTTCCAGGCTAGAGGTCCAACTTCCATTCCCGGCAAGGTGAACTAATTCAGAGTACTGAGGAGGGGGGTTTATCGGGGATGAAGGGAGTCGCTGAGAACTGCTGGAAACGCTGCTGACTTCCGAAAACACCGGCATCAAGGGGACTGGAGCAACGCTATCCCGGTAAAACATTTCCACCCGTCGCGAGCGGAGTAATGGTAAGGATGGCTCGCCGTGGAATTCAAATTGTCGATGGGACGCTCCCCCACCAAGGATAGGACTCTCCGCAAACTGCCGACGGCCTCGCGAAGACTCTGGAGCTGAAAAACTCGATCTGTTGGAGGGATAATGGTTAGGACGGCTGATCAAGGCAGGCACCAGAGATCCTGCATCTGATGATATCGCACTGTGGCTGGTATCAGTTGGACGCCGAGGTGTGATCACGAATGGGCCATCCACTTCGCACTCAATCGTCATCGAACCTTGACCCAAGTAGCACTCCATGTCAGGAAGTCTGATGTCGGTGCCGTTGGCTGCGAATGACTCTGAGTACTCGCTTGTGCCGCGGCATTCCGCAGAGCTCGCTGCAACGAGCGGTATAGCCCGGATGGAAACTCGCAATGAAAAGTTACCAGCGCGACGACGTAATCGCCGACTACCCGGAAGCGTGCGGCTGGCTGAGGAGGACGGCGCCTCAGATCGACTGCGCTCAGTTCGGAGTGGCATTGTAGGCCAATCACTGCTTGAGCTTTCTGTGGTGTAAGTTGATGCCCAGTTTCGCTTGAAGACAAATGGAAGCTGCAGTTTACTAAAGCTGTTACATCAAGTCTATTTGTAGATGCAAGTACTCTCGAGTCGTTCTACATAGGTAACTAATATTTGTCTTTGGAATTCTACAGCGGGAGCTAAAATAGTTGTTAGACTTGACTTGTAGCTATGAGAGCGTTCGATGTGCGGCCAAATGAAAGCGACTTCCATCTGGCTGTCGGTTCCGCCTCTAGACAACTCTCGTAGAGTCTATGCCAACAATTCAATAAAAGGTTCGTGAAGGCCGTTGAATCGGAAGTAAGAAGTCTCCAAAGAAGCGGACTTCAGTAAGAGACAAGGTGTTGTAGCTTTGTCCTCGGTTTTGCCCCCCTTGTTCGCGCTGAATGAGCCCGCAGGTTGACCTTGTGGAGCTGAGGACAGCTCGCCCAATCTCAAGCGCTTTCTCGCTGTCACATAGCAACTCGGAAACGGGTCGGTTAGCTCAGTTGGTTAGAGCGTGGTACTAATATTTCACCTGAAATGTTGTGTAATGCCAAGGCCGGGAGTTCAAGCCTCCCACTGATCACATATGTTTTGGTGAAGGCATCATTTACGATTTTGCTGAAATGCCTGGTGTTGAGGAGAAGTTCTTGACAGGCGTCTGAACACGCTCGGGGCACGTTGAACGCAAATTTGCGTTTGAGTTTTGTGTGCAGTGGAGAAGTTGCCGCTACCTCCAGACTAGAATTGGAGAAGAAGCGGCAGTTAGCTGCACTTCTATCGCGATTAACCTGACTCCCTCGACTTCACGATACGCGTCAAGTAAGTGGCCAGAGATCGTGTACCAATCTTGCTAAGATCGGAATGCCGGGACTGCAAATAGTCGCGACAATCCCCCACTAAATTATTCACTGCCCATTGATCCGCATGCTCAAATTGTTGCGCTTGATAGCCGGCGGTGGCCGATTTTCCACTTCCAAACAAGCGCGTCTGCGACTTCAAATTGGCTGTCCTGCCAAGCATCAGACGCCTGCTGCGATGTAACTCTAACGGGAAGGCAAACGAAAAGATATTCAGGCTAATATGGAGTGCGGCAATGGACTAACCCTTGACTTTCCCGTAGCCACGGTTCCCTGACTATCAGGGCCTTCATCAAAGACCCTCGAGTTTGAATTTCATTATCGTACCGTGCGTGGGTGACTACTGGTGGAATATCCTCAGATCCTGGTATCTGGACCCGGACCTTGAAATGAGCTCGTCGACGCCCACCACTTGCATACCACGACAACCTTTCTTTCTCGAATAAACCCTTTCTTCTGTTTCCTCCGTCTGCGCAGCAACCCCGCGCTCACATGCGACCATGAAAAAATTCTTGGTAATGGGCCTACGGCGCAGGCGGGATGCCCACTTTCTCCCCCTCGCGCTAGCCCAGGCACAGAAATTCTCGGAGCACCCTCCGAGCACCAAGTCAGTTTGCCAGACATGGCCACGGCACTGCTGCTGTTCCTCCGTCTGACTTGCGCGGCCAATGTGCCCATTTGGTACAGCGAGACACCGAAAAAGTTCCCAGAAAGCTGCACATGACGCGATCGAGAGAGGTCGAGTCCGGGTAAAAAGGTTGAATGGGTTTGCAGGAGATCTGATGGTCCTAACTGCTTGATGCTGAACGCTCACGATGATTTCCTTAACTTTTACGAGTGTGATTGGCAGCGGGAAGCATATCCTTCGGGCCGGCGATGCCACACCACACGTGGGAACGTCGAGAATGCAAGACTATTCCAAGGTCATGTCCGACGGTCAGACATCCTGATGAGAGCCAAGGCCGGAAGCTGAACGCCATGCAATGTGACCCCGGCTAGGAACTCGGCGGTGATGGTAATTCGAGACCATCTATAAGTCTACGGTGCCCGCCACATGGAAGACGTCAGTTGGAAGTGGTGCTCTAATTGTCAGACGCGTGCGCATCGATCGGATAATTGATCATCACTTAATATCAGAGAGCCGAACATCATGTACGCCAAGACTGTTCTCGCGGTCTTGCTGGGCTCCGGCCTCGTGTCGGCTCAACTAAACACCCTTGCCGTCCGCGCCGGCCTGAAGTACTTCGGCACGGCCGTTGATGAGCGCCGCACTACCACGGACGCCGCCTACATGGCCATCGTCAACAATACCGCTGAATTCGGTTCCTTGGTACCTGAGAACGGACAAAAGTGGGCGTATACCGAGCCTACTCAGAACACCTTCTCTTACACCTCGGGAGATGATGTACGTGAAGCGCCAATCGCTGGGATCCGAATCGCTAGACTGAACGCGGGCTAACGAGATGACCTTTCTCCAAGATCCCGAATATTGCAAAGGCAAATGGACAGATTTTGAGATGCCACACGTTGACATGGTGAAACCCCCTCACATCTAGGTGTTGGTGGTGCGCAACTCTGACCAGGAACCAGGCACTCTCAACTCCCAAACTGGGTCTCGAGCGGATCATGGACAGCAGCAACCCTAACTGCCGTCATCAACACGCACATCTCAAACGTTCTGAAGCACTACCTTGGCCAGTGCTACGCCTGGGACGTCGTTAATGAAGCGGCAGCCGACGATGGAAGCTGGCGCACCAGCGTTTTCTACACTGTCCTCGGCACGGATTACCTCCCCATCTCCTTTAGAGCCGCCAGGGCCGCTGACCCCAACGCGAAGCTGTAAGTCAGAAAGGCACCTACCTCTTACGACCAGGTCCCATCACTAACGCAACGACGTAGCTATTACAACGACTACAACCTGGAGTACAACGGCGCAAAGACCAACCGCGTCTATGAGGCCGTCACCATTGTCCAGAATGCCGGTGCCCCCATCGACGGCGTCGGCTTCCAGGGCCACCTGATCGTGGGCTCCACCCCGGGCCGCAGCGCCCTCGCGACCGCCCTCCGCCGCTTCACCGCCCTCAACCTTGAAGTCGCCTACACGGAGCTCGACATCCGACACTCCAGCCTGCCCGCCTCCAGCGCCGCTCTCGTCACCCAGGGTAACGACTACGCCAACGTCGTCGGCTCCTGCCTGGACGTTGCTGGGTGCGTCGGTGTCACCATCTGGGGCTTCACCGACAAGTACAGCTGGATCCCCGAGACTTTCAGCGGTGCCGGTGATGCTCTTCTCTGGGATGCTAGCTTTAACAAGAAGCCTGCGTACACGTCTGTTTCCTCTGTTCTCGCTGCTGCTGCCACTGGTGCCGTTCCGACTACGACTTCTCGCGCGACGACCTTGATTACGACGACCACGTCTGCTGCTGCGACTACGAGTACTGCTGCCTCTGGCACGGGGCAGGTTCGCTGGGGCCAGTGCGGTGGTATTGGCTGGACTGGGCCTACTACATGCCAATCTCCTTACGTCTGCACCAAGTCGAATGACTACTACTCTCAGTGTCTCTGAGCATCTGCAGTCCCTCATCAATGAGCTCGCTATCTCTTTCTTGGGCAATGAGCAAGACGTGGAGAGGGTATGGCACTTTCAGGCATGGCGGGGTAAAGGTGGGGTTGGGTTCTGTAGGTCCTGTTGTTTGAACGAGATGTAAATACTTTACCTTCATGTTCATACTTACTTAGTTCTGTCGAATCATGGCAAATGATTCAACTGTACACTCTCGTTCTACGCTTTTCTGGGTTCTGTCCGTTCTTTCGATGCGGTGCTTGATGCCTTGTGCAACCATCCACGTCACGATTGACAATCGCACGGAGCCTCAGTCTTTCACGGGGAAAACCCACTCAATCTCGCTCCCGAGCTCCCAGACTAAGCGTGTGATTGTCGCTACCTCGCTTCAGTATGGTGACTACACGTAAGCATCGAGGTTATAGCATGCTTGCCAATTGGACCTCCTGATATCGTGCTGTACCTCGGCTCGTCGTCGTAGAGTTCAGTACTCTTAAGTCCGGGAGTATAAAAGTAACTTGGTAGAAGCTGAGGTAAGGATAGGTACGTTTTAGAGACTTGAGACTGGAACCAGCTTCACCGCCAAATCAATCACCCACCATCGAAGTGTGTCATGTCATGCAGAGTAAACGCCGATGGTAATCTCCCTCATCGCCTATCGCCGATGGATATTAGGAATTTGTAATGATGCCGCGGAAGCGGCGTAACACAAAGGGAGGGCAGCCAGGACAGCACAGGCTAGCTGAGGGGAAATCAAAGACTATTCTGCGAATCTGCGATGCGATCGAATGACACGCGACGCCGGCGTCCCGGACGATCGGCAATAAGCACCTTAGTGTATACCAAGCATACTAACGCACATGTCTCCGTACCTTAGGTTGAGAAAGGGAACTAGAAACAAGCCAGCGAGCCAAGAAGAACGTCTGCCAGCGCCTCCGTCAGCAAGCTGCAGCAGAAAGAATGGAACCGGTCCTTGACTATTGCTCGGGAGGAAGCGTACGGAGTACATACGGATATTACGCTTGACCTGCATTGTCCATTCACTGACAGGCTGTGCTACGCCGCACAACAGCATGGAACCGAACAGCTGAACCTCATCCACGGAAACCGTGGGTCTTTCATGCTGGAAACGTCAGCTAATCCTCGTAGCTTATCTGACTCGCGCTTGCCCCGCGAGCAAAGAAAATCCGGACTTTTGGCCGTCGAGGGGCATTGGGGTTAGAATACGTTAATCCAATTACATGTCTCAGTTTCCAAGAACAAACCCACTGAAAATTCCACCCCTCCTCTCTGCGTCATCATCTGAAGTGGCGGGCGAAGCTAGTCCTTTCCGGCCCAAGCACCACCGAGCTTGGAAGCTTGACACCGCCAGAAAGGCCAGACCAAAAGCTGATAGAACCACCAAAAAAACACCAATCCGTCCGACGGTCCGCGGCATTGACGGTTGCTCCTGGGCGTCGGAAGACTCAGTAAACATGCCGGCAAGCTGTCCAGACTGTTTCCACTCGGTATAGTGCCGTCTTAACTCCAGCTAGCTCCGGTTAAGAAGGTTCTTG